GATTTGTTTAGAAAAATGGAGAGAACCTGGATTGATGTCTGGTCCCTCTCAGTCCCGAGAGCGAACACACTCCCAAACAAAGAACACAAACAAAAGCCTTCCCCCCCCCCCAAGATTTGAAAGTATCTTGTCCCCTTATGGGTCCTTTAGGTCAGATGCCAGCCAGGTTACCTGAGTTTCTTAACCCTTTACAGGGAAAAGGATTTTGGAGTCTCTGGCCAGGAGGGATTTTATAGTACTGTACACAGGACAGCTGTTACCCTTCCCTTTATAGTTATGACATGCCTGTTGCCCAACACCCATTTGTTCAAATCCTTGTCAAACAAGTGAGACCCATTACACTATTTGTTTTCTTCTTTCACAGCTGGGCCTTTCACAGGGGCCTTTTTCAACCCCACCCTGGCCTCCATGGTTACTTTTCACTGCTCTGGGAACATCCTGCAAGAGTATGTCCAGGTTTACTGGCTGGGACCCCTCACAGGTGAGTTGTGTTCAGGGTACCGATAGGTGCAGAAGCTATTGCGGACTGGCCATGCTGGGCCACAACCTAGAGAGTGGGGCAGAGGATGCGGCTGGCATGAAGCCTCCCTAGCATGTCTGCCATGTTAGTGAATCTGCATGAAAGGGATAAGTATTGAGCATAGAAATCGGAAACTCCTGCTGGTATGTGGCAACTCCTTGTGCTCTTATTTATTATGGGGTGAGGCTAGTCTTGCCATTGGAACCAGATGCTCCTTGCCCTTCCCAACACCCCTCTTCCCCATCAGCCAGGCTGGAACTCTGCTACACCAAACTGAGCCACATTAAATGTCACTTGCCAAACACTGGCCTCGGGGGGGGTGGGGGGAGGAGACGATGGGACACTTTGCAAAGCATGAGGCAGATGGGACTGAGAGGGGCGGGAGAGATGACGGAGTTAATGACACGGTGATGATCACACCTCATGGAGCTATGTTGTTGCAGGCTGTCTGCAGACTCAGGAAAACCATGCTGTGGCAGTTTCACTCAGTCTGTAATTTAAAGGTTATTCTCACAGCCATAAGCCCCAGATATGTAATTTCTGAAATGAAGTTTATATTCTGCAGCACCAGACGGCTGCTTCCAAAGAAAACGTATTCACTTCGGCCTTTCTTTTGTGATCTGGTCCAATCCCAGCCCTGCTTTTGCAGGTGGAACACTTCTCTGTTAAATCCGCTTGCTGTTCTGGCAGTGCCATGTGCTAGTAGCAGGGACTCCAGCGGCTTTTGGCCCGGTTGGGGCGGGCGCCATCTGACCGCAGGAGAGGAGAGGTTGGGTGGTGCATGTCAAAGGATGGGTGGGGGAGATGGTAAATGACATGGCCTAATCCCCCTGTTTCTGCTTCCAGGGATGCTCGCAGCCCTGGTCTTGTACCAGGGGAACATCCCAAGGCTCTTCCAGAAAAACCTGCTTTACAGCCCGAAGAGCAAATACCGGACTCCCAAGGGGAAGGCTGTGCCTGGGCTCAAACAGACAAGAGACAATGGGGAAGGGCAGCCACAGTTGCGAACTAAGCCCCGGAGCTGAGTGAAGGGTGTGAGAGGGTCCCCCAGCCACTGCCCTTCTCTCCTTCCCATCAGGCCCCTCCTATGGCCAGACTGACAGGAGCTGGGACTGAAGATGCCTGGCCAGCTCTGTGATGTGTGAGCAAGCGTTCGCTGGGGGCACCATGGGCTTTTCATGTCACTGTGTAAGTGTACCAGCTGCTTTGGCCACATGCAAGCAATCCCTCAGTGCTGGCCCATGGAGACCTGGCTGTGAAAGCCCCCAGAGAACGTCGCCAACTAGCGCAGACCTGACCAGCAGCAGAGTGGTGTGATTGCAGGCTCCAATACTGTGCCACAAGCACGACCTAAAGGGCACATGCCTTCCACCCAGCACACACCCCTCCTTCCTGATCTTCCCCAGCCCATCTCCCCTGGGGGCGGGGCAGGAAATCACCACCACTGTTCTGCTCCCTCAGTACAGCCAGGCATCCACCCATCTTGCTCCCCACGGGAAGGGCTGGCGCTGTTGCAAGGTCTCAGGGCTGTGCTCACATGTGACTATCCACTCTCTGGCTTGGCTCAAACCCTGTAATGTCACTGCCATTGAATGCAAATGTTACCTCCAGATAGTAGATGCCTAGTGGGGACTTGCTCCATCTCTAGTGGTACATTAATTTCTTCCTCTGGAACATCCATACACTGTCCTTTTAAAAATAGAAAGGCAAAGCAGTGACTGCTCAGTGAAACAGCCCATTCCAAAGTGTCCTGCACCTCTTCACTGCTGGCCCCTCTGGCCAAGAGAGGCTTGAGTGTCAGAAAGTTTGAGACCCTACATTTTTCCTGCTTCACTCCAGCCTTGATGGTGAATCTGGTCCCCAGGCTCAGCCCAGCCACGCAGGGTAAAAATCTGTCTGGGGATTGGTCCTGCTTTGAGCAGCAGATTGGACTATATGACCTCCTGAGGTCCCTTCTAACCCTGATATTCTATGATATAAGCTGAGTGGGGAAAGCCAGCTGTAATTGCTGCCCCTAGATAACAGGTTGTACTCTAAGGGGGAAATTCACCCCAGAGGAGACTATTCTGGTACGATCTAAGCAGTGCTCAAAGGCCTCAGTCCTGCCAATGCTGAGCACCCTGGCTTTGATCCAGCCAAGCACTTAAGTAGAGCTAAGTGAAAATCAGAATTTGTTGTATGAGAAATTCTGATATTTCCACATTTTCATCCCCAATTGGGACAAAGTCAATATCAAAATTCATCATAGAATGAAAAGTTCCCCAAAATTTCAATCTGAAAATGTCAAAATAAAATGTTTCAACATTATTGATTGAAATAAAATGTTTGTGACTGTCCTGAGTCAAAATGCTTCATTTGCATCAGTTCAATATTAAACTAAGTTTGCCAATGGTACTGTGGTGCCTCATGGGAGTTGTAGTTCAGGTGCCTCTTGCTGCTATTCACCAAGGCCAGGCTCCTGGGCCAGACTATATTTCCCATGATGCTCTACAGTCATGTAACGTCCATGTAGCCCAGTCAGGGATGTGTGTGATGTTTCACTCCATATTCTTTATGAAAACATGCTGATATGAATGACATAACTGAGATGTACTTTATGCAAGATGAGTCTTGTAAGGTATCATTGGAAAGGTTATGATTTACTGAATGTGATTATCCAATTTGGATGCCTGCATCATTTCTGTATCTGAAGTTAGGAATATTAACTATGTATCTGTATTTCAAATGTATTACTTTGGTTCTTCTTCGAGAGATGTTCCTGTGGGTGCTTCACTCTAGGTGTTGGTGCGTCCCTGCGCCTTCACT